TATATATATATATATATATATATATATATAATATATTATAATATAATATATATATTACTATATATATATATATATATAATTAATAATTATATATATAATTTCAGATACTTCGACTATGCCATTTTACAGCTGGTACTTGTTCAATTTGCAACACTTTGTGCTGAAATACTTGATGCGACCTAGTGCTTGGTGGTCTCCATTTTTCCGCGCGATTTTTAATGGTTTAATGCGGCTTTCAATTTTTTTTCTGGGTAAATTTCCCTTCATAGCTACCTGGACATTTGGGAAGCAATATGCAGATGTCAATATTTTTCATTATCACTTCGACTAAGAGTTTAATTATAATTTGTTTTCGATCGCAATCGATTTTGATCGCTCTGAGCGATTATTAATAGAATAGTGCACTTTTTGTAATTAAAATGAGATGGACGTAAAATACGAACATAAAAAAAGAAAGAACAAAAAGATCAGTGCAAGAAGTGCACTATGTCCTGAATTGCAAAACTCATTTAATCTCGCAATCAAAAACGTTATAAATAAAAAAAATGCCGATAACAAAATTACATGAAAATAAATATTAATGAATAGAAAATTCGCATAATTGTGATTTTGTTATTAATTTGTTATTCGTATAAAATAATATTGTATATTTGTATACAATAATGTATCAAAAAGCAGATATATTTCTACGGAAAAGAAAAAGATAAAAGAATAAAATAATATGCGTACATGTAATGATATTTATGTAATGATATTCAGGCTAGATGTATACTTGAAAAAAAAAAAATAATATATTGCGCAGTTTTGTTAATAATGTATGGATAAAGCGCATGTACATATGTAATAAAACTTGCGTAATTACAGTAATTATGATAATTATAACAATTATAATATAAAATTATAATAATCATAATTACGAAAAGTTCAATTATTTTGGGACTATTAATTCAAATGTGTAAAATAAATATTCCAAATAATGTTTAATTATTAATTAATAATATTAATTAAAATAGATATCTAAAATGTATTATTTTATATCTTTATATTTTTCAAATTATAAATATTGTTATTGCTTTAGTTTTTAATTCAGTTCTTGAAATGATTCTGAACAAATGGATTATTATATTTCCATTCAATTATTAGTAGAGTTAAGTTACTCGTTCTTTCTTTTCTCTATACTCATATGTAG